TGATAATCTCATCTTATCTCACCATTGGAGGTGTGGAAAATCCCTATGAAACAAGACCTAGTTTTTCTGACTCTACCCCAGTCGACAACTAACTGTCAACGGCTATATAATGATTATGTTTTATCTGTATATGTTTATGGGGAGAGACAATAATTAACCTGCTTCCAATCCCTTTCAGTTTTTTTTTTTTTTTTTGAAAAATGTATTGTTTTCACTAAATAAAAAATAAATGGAGACGCTACTGTTTACGTCAGAATGTCACTGATTTCCGGTGTAGAAAGAAATTCGGTTAAACTAACGCCTCTCATTTGGGCGTCCAAAAAGATTATGACCCCGGTTCAGGCGTTCAGTCGTGTATTTGGGTATGTTATGCTTGACAGATTACTTTTGCGATTTGTATGTTTTAAAGGGACAGTATGAAAACCCGTTAGGAATATGTACATATTCTATTAACGCCTATTTATCTACTTTTCAACTTGTATTTGATTTAAAGGCGTTTAATTATTTTTTTTTTTAAATATGTGGATAATTATTTATTTTCAGAAAGGTAGAGGTAAGATTTCGGGGCAGGGAGGGTTTGATTCTCCCAACTGTACAGGCCTAGGCTTCATTAAGAAACTGGGATCAGGAAATTCTGTTTTTTTCCGATTTGAAAGTTAAAAATATCCCTATTAAGGGAAACATATCTCTAGATTTTGGTGTATAGTTTTCACGAATTTGAGCTCCTAATCGTTCCAACCCATTAAGAAATAAGATCGCCTCTTTAAATAATAATCAGGTTAAAAAGGTCATGAATTTGGAAAAAAGGGTCGCTTACCGAGGACAATTTCAAACAGTCAAGATATTAATTGCATCCATGACACACAAGTTTTTCGGGTTCTGATCTTCAAGTTACAGAAATTAAGCACGGTGGTATGTAGACTATTATATTTTTGTTATTTTTTATATTATTATTTGAAGATTTAAATTCTAAGTTATTTTGAAAATATTTGAGCGTGATGAAAAATTAGCAAATTATATGAATGAATGGATTTCTTTTTGATGGCCTTTGAAATTTTCGTTTGATTTTTTTTCTAGAATTGCAAGTTATATAATATAAAACCTAATTTTCCCCCAAATCATCTTAAATCAGTAAACTCTAAACACATCAAATTATCAAAATGACACATTTCCGAAGACTTAAAATTCGGAAGAATTTTCATATGTGAAAGCATTAATGGGGCAATTTTTGTGTAATTTTGCAATACAGAGTTACACTGAAATTGGTGTTCGAAATCAATATTTCCCAGTATGCCAATCTGTTCACGTGATCGACCCAGCTGCCATTTTAAACTGACAGCGACCAAAGTCCAAATTGATGTGATTGGAGATTCTACGGACATAATTGTAACATAACATAAATAACATGTATGCCTATGCCCCATCTAGACTTGTGTTTCTTTTGTGTTTGAATATATATATATTTAACCTGTGTTGAATTGTTGAAATATTATTTCTTTATTTTGAAAATGATGTATATTCCTATTATGTGATCTCATTTCTTCACCCAGTAAAGTGTATTTAACACTTCTACAGTGTAAAGCTTACGCCATAATTGTGGGCCCCCTATATTACTAACACCAGAATAATGGGCCAAAATACTACACTACACTACGTAACACGATCTGGGGTGTAATCAAAATTACCACCAGTGTAGCGTTTTAGATACACCCACTAAAGTGTATATGATACACCATATTAGGTATAAAGCAGCACCTATTTAGGTGTAAAGTCTGTTTATAATTTTAACAGTGTGTAATCGTTCTTCAAGTTCGTTAAAGCCCCATGTTCAAAATTGGTTACATTTACCACATGTATATGTACACCAAAAGCAAACATTCAGGATACTATTGTCTATCGCGCTGTCGGGTGGTTTTCAACAATTTTGATAGCCTACGCTTACCGAGGTCAAGACGTTCACGAAAGAAAAAAATTGAGTTTAAATATTTGCTGGAATTCTTCAACCAACGATAAAATTGGTGAATTAGACAAAGGTTTTTGACGAGGTAATAAAAGTCAAACCGCGATCCAAGAGTCATTTTAAAATATTCCCTCTTTCTTGATCTACTTCGGTATATAGCAAACAGCGGTCACTTAGGCCCTACTACTATCTTGAAGAATAATGTGATCTTCTCCTGGTATATCTTCTCCTTATTGACCGGCTCTCAAAAAGAAGTTAAATGCTTCAATAACCCTTTACTCCAACTATTGTCAGCTTTGTCTTTCCTCAATCGACATGCATCCAGTGGAACCTTTTCAATTTAGACTCAAGGACACGGTATGATTAAAAAATAAAAAATAACAAGTCTCTACTAATTTAGCTCATTATGAATTCATTATGAACATGTGAGACGAACTGCCATTTTTCCAAGTCATTAGACCACCTGTAATGTCTATTCATATAAGTATTAGCATTTTCTTTTTCATAAATGAAAATAAGCGCACATTTTTTAATAATTGATAAATAATTTTGACAGGAATTAAAATAACCATTGCAGGTTAGCATAACACCTAGATAATTTAAAGATTTGACACATTCTACAGGTACCTTATTTTTTAATAAAGCGACAAGACTTTTATTTTCAGTCAATCCCCATTTCACACAATATTCATGTAATCTAGTCGAAGATGCCTCAAATCCAAAGCTGTTAATGTCAATGGTCAATTTCTGAACAAGTTAAAATCATTTATATACAATAGGAATAAAAGTAGCGAGAGGTTATCACCTTGCTTCATCCCAGCAAACGATAGGAATAGGTGCGACAATGATCCACAATGTTGGACACAAATATTGACATGGTTATACATATATTTTATACATTGAATCAGTTTTGCGCAAACATCCTGTTCTTTCAATTTAATGAATACAGGATTTCTATTTAGCCTGTCAAAACATTTACTGCAGTCAACAAAGCACCAAAATAATTGTTTGCCTCCTGAGAACGTTTTGGTTATAATTGATTGTCTGTTCTCTTGTTTGCCTAGAATCCAAATTGGTTCTTAATCAAAATGTTGTTATCGTTAGCCCATTTGAATAAGGGCTTTTAATTATGATTGAGAATAATTTTCTTATAGTAGACTTCATAGTGATCCCCCTATACAATTGTTGACGTCATTTACATTAGCCTTTTTAGGGACAGGTACAAGAACACATTTTGACCAATTCTGTGGTAATATGTCATTATTAAACACATAGTTGAATAATTTACATATACATTTGATTAAACATTTGCAATTTTCAATTTCGTCTACAGTTATCTCGTTATCAAGGTAACCGTCATGAACATGCTGTGGTTGTACTGTCGCACAAAAGTGTTCAGCGAAACCTTATTCGCCCCCCCAAAAAAAATACTAGTAAAATATTGGACCTCCTGGTTTCTAAATAAGATGAAACACTTCGCTTCGGGTTTTTGCATTTTTTAAACCCTTTCCATCGAGATGGTAGTTTTAAATATCATGCAGACCATCGTTCGTCTTTCATCCTATACTTAGGCCTATTAATCATGCTATCGATGCAAAAATCGTGAAAATTGATCCAGTATAAGGAATGAATGTGAATCTTTTTAGCTTTCTGGAAAGAGAGGGTTTGATTCTCCCAAACGTATAGACCTGGGATGGAACAAATACTTCATTAATAAAATGGAATAAGCAATCTGGAACTGTTTGGGTATTTCTCTTCTGTTCTGATATGGAATTAGATAAAACAATAACTCGCCCAGTAGCGAGATGTTAGATTGTTATGTGTGACGGAGAAGAAATCACTCAAAAAAACTCATTGTGTATCTATACTGTTTTACAGGAATCTTTATTAAGTCAACCAGCCATGCCATCCCCTGATAGTCTAACTAGTAAACCTACAGACAATGATGAGGTTAGTACTTCTTATAAACCTTTAGTAAGACAACACAGCTACATTTTTTATATGATTCTTGATGAAAGTTGGATGAAATTTGTTTATGTATATTGATGAGATCATGTAATAGACTATAATAATAGGGACAGGTGTGTCATTTTGGTGTGGGATTTAGTCTTGAATAAATGTATAGTCTTCAGAAGTACTAGAAATGTACGAAAATCGCATAATTCGTTTAAAAAGGATTTCAAACTTGGAATTATACTCACTATTTACTTTTATGTCTTTTCTATATATCACAGAGTATCTTAAATTGACGTTAACATAACGGATAATTCTTGACAAGCATGGATTTGAAGGCTCAAATTCCCATGGTGAGCTGTGAACACTATCACTGGCCTAGCTTAACAAATTCCGCTTTGAGACTGAAATATGATTGATAAAAAAAATGGCGCATCTGTCCCTTTAACACCTGCAATGGAATTTTCTGAAGTGGGTTTCTGTGCGATCGTTTGTTTGTCAAAGCCGTCTGATTTCAGGGATTCGTACGCGGTCCATATACTAGTATAATTTGCAAAAATATAAACAACATCGATTAAATATGAAAATTATAGTAAAGTATAGCAAATAGATAAATGTAGATTTGGTTTGTCAAATCCTAACACAGTTATTTAAGAACTACTTGATCTGATAATACTTGAGAGCATCATCCCACCCATGAAAGAGTCGACACCCAAATATTCAGATTATTGAGTGGTTGTGCTGGCATTGGAAGAACTGTTACACCAGCCTTACATCCAAGAGACATTTCAAGCCAAAAGCTTGCGATGACTTAAAAAACACCAAACAATTACTGCTTGCTCCTACTGGAAATGCAGATTATAATATTAAGGGTAACACAATCCATAGTGCACTGTTGATACCAGTATCCTAAACATATTTTGGTTAGGTTTGAATTTGATTCGACAAGTATTCCTGGGTTATAGCCCTAGATATACAGTAAATATGGGGGTATTTCATCTGGATAATACGTTCCTACAGCAAATCATAACTAAGAGCTTAGCAATAATTAACCTATTACTAATCTGAATTATTTCAGGTAAAAAAGTCGGTGACAGAAGAAGAACTGAGTGCAGCCAAAAAATGCTGGCGAGATGGTGTAGCTAAATTACCAGAACTTAGAGAGAGAAAACATCCAATGTAATTAAAGTTGTAGTTATAACAGTAGTTAAAATTGCAACTTTAAAGTCAATGCAATGCAATGTGCCATTATAGATGATTTGGCAGGGCCAATTTTATAAAAATTCAGAGAACAGTAAAATGCTCTTTAAAATCGTTTAGCTGCAGTTACAGTGATATGTATACAGAACTCTATCGAGACCTGAGATATTTTCAGTGTTATATATATGTTCCTATCTGCCTCTATTTCAGCCTTTAGATATTTTGAGTCGGCTGGGGTAGAGTGAGAAAACATACACAACGTTCCCAAGATGCGTTTTCTCTAATATAATATTAAATTACGTTTAAGTTGACTGTAAATCTGTGTTGGGCATCACCTTAACTAACTTTCGACGTGACTCTTTGACCTTTTGGCTGTGCACGCAGTTTTAGATGGCAGTTTTAGATCAGTTTCGTTATAAAACACTTTGATGGAACCGGAGACCTGACATAAGTGGTGTAGGGAGAACATGATCATATGACAGAACTACAAAAAATATTTATCTTTCCAAATATATCTGAGTTTTGCAGATCCGATGTATCTAAATAGGTTTAATACTCCCGCACCTGCGGAGATGCTTAAAGTCCCCATTTAACGGGGCCAAGTTTTTCTGTCTCAACACCAGTCGACATTTTTCTAAATAACTATCAGAGACTGGCATAGAGACGGATGTTTCTAAACATGATGATGACCATTCTGACCATGTAAAATAAAGAGATTATTAGTATTATTAGTATTATTATTATATTTTAGTTTGCCAGTACCAGGGGAGAGGAATATAATGATATGTAGTGCCGAACCTTATGTGAATAATGTACCACATCTAGGTAATATTATTGGTTGTGTATTAAGTGGTGATGCCTTTTCCAGGTAAATTTTCCCTCCCAAGTATTATCTCTTTGGGCAGCGAACGAAAAAATATCGGGCAACAACCCGAAAACAATTCATGGGAAAATTTTGGGCAAACCAACATGACTTCGGTCATTACGCCTATGGTCATTAATTTTGATTATTTTGATTTTGAGAGTTTACTTCTAGACCAATTAGATTCTTCTAAACAAAATATTGCGGGAAAATGTTTGAATTATTACTTTATTGAGCTATAATAGTTTTCAGAGAATGAATGGAAACAATTTCTTCTATAATCTTTACACCTCATCTGAATATCTTTATTTATATGAAATGAGATGCGAATCAGTGATTTGGCAATTACGACTCCACCAATGAATTATGTCACCTTCCATTTCGCCAGTACCTGAAAAGTCCCACTTGAAAACTTCGATAATTCCTTAAAGATGGTCGGAAGCTTTAGAATTCTCTGAAATCTTTTATGAATATTAAGGAAACATGCTAGTAACTTTTTGTCAAGTTTCATATCATTGGCTTATCGAAAAGGGAATCGATGCTAAACTGCAACATTTTCAATAATTCAATGGAGGTCGCCATTTTCAATCAACATCCTTTTACACCAAATGTTATGAGATTACTGATTGGATAAACTGAATTGACGTATGGTCTGCCAGGGGAGGTCTCTAATGACCAGAATATAGGATTGTGCATGCAACGGATAGATATGGTTAAAGATAATTACAGCTTACATTTTCAGATACTGTCGACTGCGGAACTATAATTCTGTGTATTTGTGCGGAACTGATGAATATGGTACAGCAACCGAGAATAAAGCATTAGAAGATGGTGTAACACCACAAGAAATTTGTGATAAATATTATAAGTTACATACAGAGATCTATGATTGGTTCAATATATCTTTTGATCGTTTTAGCCGTACAACTTCTACTGAACACACCGAGTAAGAATTAACAAGAAACCAAATACATGTACCTATATAATTTTTCTTCCATCCATATAATCAATGTAAAGAGGTTTTCTAAATTATTTATGTGTATCGGGGACAAAGGTAGTATAAATTTGCACCATTCCAATTTTCAATCAGACGTCTGTTGTTCCTGCAATTCCACTTCAACTAAGCGTTTTATGACGTCACTAATCGCGAAGTCCTTATGTGATAAAGCATAATTGTAACTTAACAACGGTAATTCCATAAATCCATTTAACAAACGTAATTAATTGTTGTGAAAAAAAACTTTTAAAAAGTAAGTGTTTTTCATTACAAATTTTGGTCTAGTTTCAAAACACGATTATTTTTTGGGTGATCCTAAGATTAAGATTCCTTAAAGAAATTTTTTTAATTTTCAGAATTGTTCAAGATATATTTTGGAAGTTATATAATAATGGTTATATCATAAAAGACTGGGTAGATCAATTACATTGTGATAATTGTAACAGGTAAAATGTTGCTTTCCATATAGCTTATCTGTGACCAATATTATGCTATGTTTTTCGGACACGATTTAAAATTATTTGAATATACATGTAATTCATTCATAAACCACATAAAAATTGCTATGGCACGGCCATTCATTTGTGAATTTTTCGTGACTTCATTGACGCCCACATGAAATGTTTTGTATGAAAAACTATGTTTAATGCCTGTTATATTCTAAGATAGGCGTGTGTACTTTGTGAGTGGTTTACGTACTGTATTTAAAGTGATGTCTGGTGTATTCTAGATTTCTAGCTGATAGGTTTGAGAGTGGTATTTGTTCTATATTTAGTGTGATGTTTGTTGTTTCTAGCTGGTAGGTTTGTGTGTGGTCTATGTACTATATTTAATATGATGTCTGTTGTCTTCTACGTTTCTAGCTGATAGGTTGGAGATTGGTATTTGTACTATATTTAGTGTGATGTCTGTTGTATTCTATGTTTCTAGCTGATAGGTTTGTGAGTGGAATATGTTCTATATTTAAAGTGATGTCTGTTGTATTCCAGGTTTTTTAGCTGATAGGTTTGTGAGTGATATTTGTACTATGATTAAAGTGATGTCTGGTGTATTCCAAGTTTCTAGCTGATAGTTTTGTGAGTGATATTTGTACTTTAATAAGTGATGTCTGCTGTATTCCAGGTTTTTAGCTGATAGGTTTGATAGTGGTACTTGTACTATAATAAAAGTGATATCTGTTGTAATCTAGGTCTCTAGCTGATAGATTTGTGAGTGATATTTGTACTATAATTAAAGTGATGTATGTCGTATTCTTGGTTTCTAGCTGATAGGTTTGTGAGTGGTATATGTTCTATATTTAAAGTGATGTCTGTTGTATTCTAGGTTTATAGCTGATAGGTTTGTGAGTGGAATAAGTTCTATATTTAAAGTGATGTCTGTTGTATTCCAGGATTTTAGCTGATAGGTTTGTCAGTGGTATATGTCCTTTGTGTAGCTATGATGATGCTAGAGGTGATCAATGTGATGGCTGTGGTAAATTAATTAATGCTGTAGAATTGATCAACCCTAAATGTAAATCTTGTACCAACATCCCAAAAGTAAAAGCAACTCAACATTTATTTTTAGATTTACCCAAGGTAACTAATATTATATAAACTAAAATCTCTTTACATTACATCGGTCAGAATTGGGTCCAATACACAAAATATTCAGTCCATGGAGACAATGTTCAACATGAAGACAACCAAAACCCCGAAAACTCCAATCTTACCACTACTGTTTGTCCAACTATGAATATTGGTATAAACATAGTTCAATTCCATAGTGTTTTATTACAGTTAGAATCTGAGTTTAGACAACATATAGACAAAGTTTTCGACAATGGTATATGGTCACAAAACGCTAAAGTTATAACTAATTCATGGATTCGAGATGGATTAAAACCAAGATGTATTACCAGAGACTTAAAATGGGGTATACCAGTACCATTAGAAGGTTTTACTGATAAGGTATATGATTGACCTTACACACTTCTAGTTGTCCAATATGTTTACTATGTACACAAATACTATTAACCATTTTTGTTATGGAATACCAGGTAGACAAACCAAGCTACAACTTGCTATTAAATGTTCTTAAAGCTATCATGCTCTTATAAAGCTAAAATTGATTAATGAACAAAATATATAAAGACTGTCTGTCCGTCTTTTGACCGCCGTATTTAATACTATCACCCGTCATTCATGTTGAAGAATGAGGATTATTCTTGAAATATTACAGATGATTGTGCTCGTAGGCCTATATTAAAAAAATCATATTCTTGCTCGTGAAATTTAGCCTCATGTGATATATTGTGAGTATATAACAAAACACAAGAGAATACATTATGGTATATAATAATTCTTTAATAACGTTTGAACACAATTTACACGCCGTGTCGTCATCGTTAGAGAATATCTCCGCTTCTAAATGTCGGTCAATTCAATTCTCATATTATACTGTGACTATTTTAAGTAGGCTGATACTGTATCACTATTTCGCTATTTATCCATATGAAAACTACTAACCGAAAAATCATCTTCTCTTCAACTATTACATATTTCTAGTGTGTTTTTCTTGATATAGTAAACGTCGAGTACTGAAGTTGAAAAAAATATAATATGATGTCAAATATTTCTGGTGGCGACCGCCGACCAATGAGCACGCTTGAACATAGCTATTTTTACGTTTAGTTTTGTTGATATTAACATGAAACTATGATTTTATATGTATAGGCAACATATTCCAATAAAAAAAGTTCTTTTAATTAATTAAAATTCGCCGAGTTATAAAGCTGTCTGGATATTTACCAAAATATTCTTACCTGTTGGCCTCAATTTCAATGATTGCTTATTTTGTCAGATTCTATGTATTCCTGACAACCAAATTACCAGGGATACCAGATTGGCAAACTCATTTACAGATTGGAGTTACGAGATGCCAAACGATTCCATATTTCTAATAACATAGTAGATTTTGACCATGATTTAATATTGTAGGTATTTTATGTGTGGTTTGAAATAACTATTGGTTACGTCTCTATAGCTGCTACATATACTAAAGATTGGGAGAAATGGTGGAAAAATCCTAATGAGGTATAAATAGTTTTACTGGTCCATGTTTAATATGATCGAAGTGAGCATGAAATGAATATGAAATATATTATAGTAGATTGATTTAAGTGATACTTTAATCTGAATCAGCGAAGGGTATAAGTTGTGCAATACCAAACAAATTATCCCAGTTAGTCTGTTTGATTGTAGACAAGTGACCCAAGTAAATGTGTGGGTTGGGGTTCCTCCCCTGGGAGGTACTACAAATCGCACAGTTCCTTCAAAAATTAGAAATTTTACTCATTATTTCTATTTATATGTCTTCTCTATATATTACAGAGTATCTTGAAATGACGAGTCGTCATTGTCTTTGTAGGTTGAGTTGATTCATTTTCTGGGTAAAGATAATGTGCCATTCCATAGTGTTATATTTCCCTGTACATTACTAGGAGCTAATGATAACTTTACATTGATAAGTCATATGTCAGCTACAGGTTAGTGTTTTTGATTTACTTACAAATAGTCAGGGATGTCAGATACAGGCTAGTGTGTCTGAATTACTTACAAATAGACAGGTATGTCAGATACAGGTTAGTGTTTCTTTTTCACTTACAAATAGACAGTGATGTCAGATACAGGTTAGTGTGTCTGATTTACTTACAAATAGATGGGTATGTCAGAAATAGGTCACTATTTTTGATTTACTTACAAAGAGATAGGTATGTAAGATACAGGTTAGTGTTTCTGATTTACTTACAAATGGACAGGTATGTCAGATACAGGCTAGTGTTTTTTGATTTATTTACAAATAGACAGAGATGCCAGATACAGGTTAGTGTTTCTGATTTACTTACAAATAGTAAGAGGGTGTCAGATAAAGGTAATTTCTTTTATTTATTTATTTATTTATTTATTTACTTACAAATAGACAAGGATGTCAAATACAGGTTAGTGTTTCTGATTAACTTGCAATTAGACAGGTATGTCAGATACAGGTAGGTGTTTTTGATTTAACTACAAATTGTCAGGGATGTCGTATACAGGTTAGCATTTCTGATTTACTTACAAATAGACAGGTATGTCAGATACAGGTTAGTGTTTTTGATTTACTTACAAATAGACAGGTATGTCAGATACAGGTCACTATTTTTGATTTACTTACAAAGATATAGGTATGTCAGATACAGGTTAGTGTTTTTGATTTACTTACAAATAGACAGGTATGTCAGATACAGGTCACTATTTTTGATTTACTTACAAATAGACAGGTATGTCAGATACAGGTCACTATTTTTGATTTACTTACAAATAGATAGGTATGTCAGATACAGGTAAGTATTTCTGATTTGCTTACAAATAGACAGGTATGTCAGATAAAGGTAACTATTTTTGATTTACTTACAAATAGATAGGTATGTCAGATACAGGTTAGTGTTTCTGGTTTACTTACAAATAGACAGGTATGTCAGATACAGATCAAGTTTATTTTTTGTATATATACGTCTGCATGATCGAATAGTGTGAACTCTGGTTTTGTTAGGTTCTGTTTTAATATTCATATATACGTATTTATATTTTGTAGAATTTTTGAATTATGAAGATACAAAGTTTTCTAAAAGTCGAGGTGTGGGTGTATTTGGTGATAATGCTCAAGATACAGGAATACCAGCTGATATCTTTAGATTCTATCTTCTGTTTGTTAGACCAGAAGCGCAGGTAAGGCATCAACTTGTTTTTAGTAAAGAATACTCTGCGAATTCCGACTTCTGAGTATTAGGACATTCTGAACATTCCGCATTCAGTGTTAAGCTCATCAACACTTAGACACGCACAATAATCGACGGATTTCTATGAATCTTGGGGAAATTATTTATAATGAATAAAAAAGAAACCCGTTTTGCCAAATATACTTATTTAAAATCAAAGCTACCAGTGGACGTATATTACCTTGTCTGTCAAGCAAGCTACACTATTGATATTTTTCATTTTTTGTCTTCTATAAATATCAATATATATGTATTTGCTAACTGTTTTTGTGCTGTTTTGTTATTTTGTAGGACACTGCATTTAGTTGGGATGATTTTTTGTTGAAGAATAATAGTGAACTGTTAAATAATTTAGGAAATTTTATCAACCGGTAAGGATGACATTGCAGTGATAACTTTGTCTATATTCTATGTAAACATTGTCAAGCCAAGATGGTTTACACACATTCAGCTCCCATTCAAACAATAAACATGAAAACTCCACTTTATTTAACTGTAGAATAAATAGGTTTGTAACATAAATAAAATGATTGACAGCTTATTACGGCATTGATCATGTTATCGTGTTATCCAATGATGTAGAAGCACAACAAAATTGACTGGTTGTACCATACCTAAGCTCCACCTACTTTCATGTTAAGTTATCCAAGTATGCAACAACAACAATTTGCTGATAATAGGCCATGCTTTTCCCCAATCACACATTTTAAGCAAATTATTCTTAAAAACAAGAAAGAAAAAAAAGCTATTTATGATACAAGTCATATATTCTACGTGTCTTACTCATTAACATATTTAAACAAAATGTAACAGATTCGTTTGTTTAAATATGTTAACTCGTTAGAACCGTACTTTACAAAAATAACTCCATAACTGCTGAAAAATAAACAGGACTGATCCTCTAAAGCCTGAAGCAATGTGTCTTCAAGCTTGTGCATTTTAGATAAAAAGAGATGTTTGATGTAGCTATGTATAGAAAATTTCACTTTTTACCCACATCATAGACTCCAATGATTATTTACCCAATATTACAAAGAAATGAGACAAAATATCATATCTACTATCTTTGAATAGTTCAGACCCTTGTCCATGTTTCAGAGGACTGGCGTTTGTAAGTAGCAGTTTTAATGGCACGATACAAGAGATAAACTTAACATCAGAAGACTTACAGACAGTGGCTTTAATTAGTAGAGAATTAACTATATATATACAGAATATGGAACAGGCAAAGTATGATTTTGATTATTTTTTTCACTCTATATTTATTGAAATCATGCTGTAGAGAACTGTATAGAAGAATAAAGAATATAATCATTTCAACAAAGCAAGTTACTCTTTCTTTTAGCGCACTATTGCTGCAAACACTCCATACACAAGAGCCAGCACTGTAACAAAACATTATGATTTATAATTATATTTTTCAGATTACGTGATTCAATAAGAAATGTATTAAGTATATCAAGATTAGGAAATGAGATGATGCAGGTCAATAAACCATGGGTTTTGGTAGAAGGTACACCAGACGAAAAGTAAGTTATTACCTTAACAACTGTTGATGAAGGCAAAAGGCGAACCAATCATGGAGGATTCTCTCGCAGCTAGTCCTTGGCCAAACCTCTTGGCATTGATATTTCCCGGTTATTAGTACCTATTAGCAGCTTAAACTGCTGGAATTATGAATAAAGATGACTTTTTCAATGCTACTAGACTTTCACACGCCGAACAAAATTAGAACCCACGACACGAATATGTTAGACAATGCTTAGCAAATGATGTAAAATTTCAACCGCTCTGTCAGACTGTGCTATATATTCCAATTATAAAAAATAGCTGTTTTGGCTCATTAACAGTGTCACTTTCACCTAATAAAAGTTCTTTGGTAATACATGCATCAAAGTATTGTTATTTCAGAGCAAGAGCAGGATCAGTTGTAAGTTTAGCTGCTAATATTGCATGGTTGATTGGAGTACTGTTACAACCCTATATGCCTTCAACTAGTGAAATCATCTGTACACAATTAAATGGTAACCCTAAAAATATGGTGATACCAACTCAATTTATACCAGTGTTGAAAACTGGCCACAAGATTGGAAAAGTAAGTTTAATTGAGATTTATATCCCCTTGTATACAGTGGAAAGGTAAGTTTAATTGAGATTTATATCCCCTTGTATACAGTGGAAAGGTAAGTTTAATTGAGATTTATATCCCCTTGTATACAGTGGAAAGGTAAGTTTAATTGAGATTTATATCCCCTTGTATACAGTGGAAAGGTAAGTTTAATTGAGATTTATATCCCCTTGTATACAGTCGAAAGGTAAGTTTAATTGAGGTTTATATCGCCTTGTATACAGTGGAAAGGTAAGTTTAATTGAGATTTACAATATATATATTGAGAAAGACAATATTGTTAATTTCAATATGAAGGTTTGGTACAGTAGGTTTAGATATTCTTATAATGTGTTTGCAATCTTATGTCATTGTGTTCTTTTATTTTGTCTTCCAGCCGACTCCGTTATTCCAGAAAATAGAGGCCTCACTTATCGAGAAAATGAAGAAAAAATTCCAAGGAAAACAGGAAAAGGTGGGTAGAAATGATTTTCTCTCTGAAACTCTATGTGTGAAATACTGATCAAGGGAAAAGTAAGGATAAAAGTTGCACATGGATTTATTGAAGTAAAATGGGTTTTTTATCAAATGTTTTTTATGAATATAATATTTTTGAAATCTGCAGCAACTCAACCAGAGTTAAAACACTCCATCCAATTTTTTTACTTCTTTTAATATCAAACTTGATAATGACTATCTTGTGATGGACTTGTTTAGGTCTTCCTTTACTTAGCAGTGCTGGGCTGAAGTCATATTGCAGGCATAATGTACCATGTAATATAATACTTTCATTACCTGATAAAACGTTATTTCCTATTTTTAACCGAAAAAAATCCTTTTTAGGGTAGAATGCAAGAGTGTTGAAAAAACAAAAAGCAATTGACAAAGAGGTAGCCGTGTTATTAGGTTTGAAGAAACAATAGTTATTAGCTCAGGGTTTTAATCCAGCAACAGTTTCCAGTAAGAATAACAAGAAAGGAAAGGAGAAATAGACTGTTGTCTCTGGACACCATACCAACCTTCTATATTATAGCATATTAAAGAATGGTAAAGAGGTTTTCTAGCTTTTTTATGTGTATGGGGAACACTTTTGACGTCTTTTTGGGACATTCCAATTATTCGTCAGATGCCTGTGGTTCCTGCAATTTCAGAAAGAGTAAATCGGAAGTGACGTAGAGAATTTGTGATCTACCACCAGATCACAATAACATAACATGATGACGGTATTTCTTACTAAAAATTCACATTTTGCTTCGACGTTGCCTTATAGAACTCTTTATTATACGTCTTATATTGCTTAGTTTTAACAGATTGGAAGAGTTGTATGATATCTGTGCAAAACAGCCT